GCGAAGCATCGAAGGAGGCAATAAGGCTAAAGAACTTCATTGGTGATCTTGGAGTTTTGCCAGCCATAAAGGAGCCTATGGAGATTTTCTGTGATAATGAAGGTGCGGTTGCCTTGACCAAGGAACCGAGGGATCATGGTAGATCTCGACATATCGACAGAAAATATCACTTCATTAGACATCGTGTAGAAGAAGGACAACTCATAGTTAAGAGGATATCATCAGAAGATAACCCAGTAGATCCGCTTACGAAGGGACTGAGTAGGGTTAAGCACTTGCAGCATGCTAGGAGTATTGGGCTGAAGGATGATATTAGTATAGATTAGATAGTATTTAGAAACGTATAACAAATAAATGTAATTAACATTTGATGATTAAATAAAGGAGTTTTATTTATAAGTAAAGTTACTGTCATATGTTAATTGTTTAACTATTGTTTCACTTTGCATGTTTTGACTTCCAGAATAATTGAGTTTATTAGGAATAATCGAATTATTCAAATTGTCCAAAATCGTTCATATGTTGGAAGTAGATATGAATGAAGATTGTCATGAATTGGTGTGTAGATTGTCTAAATGGTGTTAGACATAGAAAGGGTTGCTGCAACGTTCATGAGTGCTTATGAACTGGTTTTGAGCATTGGAATAAACCCACGCTTGCTAGAATCACCCTTATGGAATATGATATAAAAGGTGATCGCATGACGATAATATCATATAGTCTTAAAACCTAGATATATGGTTTATTATTTGTTAATTGATTGTACATTGATAATGCGAAAACGCATCAGTAACTTGGTGTTATAAAACGCATTGTTGTGTATAGTTGGTTAATGAATAAGTAAATGCATATAAGTCGAAGTTTATATGTAAATTTTATCCTAAGAGGGTAGAAGAGATATCTTGTTCACTCGATGATTTGATTTGACTTATGTGCCGGGCCCGGCCAGAACTGAATTAATGTGTTTGATTAAGTTCTATGTCGAATAAATCGGAGATCGAGAAATCAAATGCTAGACTAACCATTCCATAGGATTGTCAGCATGATATCTAACAGAGGACTGTATGATCCCTTATCTAAAGGACAAGATTGATTAGATCAGAGTTTTTTATAGCGTCTTTGAGAGCTACGATTGCAAACCGAATTGTACTTGTATAGTTACTAGACTTATCCAAGTGGGAGACTATTGGAATAGTGTCTAAGGCTGCAACTATATTAGGCAAGTATTTGATTTCGGTTGTGCATGGTTCTTTTGGGTTACCTTCACCATAGCAACTTGATGGATGATTTGTTAAGAGAGAGTAAATATTATAAGGAATAATATATGGTTATTTGATTAATATAAGTCATAGATTAATTGGAATTAATTTGGTGACTTAAAGAGATTAATTAAATATGAGGGTATAAACTGTCAATTGTTTAATAGTTACACTTTAGACTATAAATCCTTATCCATGATAGGATGGATGATTTCTAGGGCTTGGATAAGCCAAAATCGTCCATAGGGTTATCAAGGAAAGCATATGGATTAACTTAAAGTCTAAGTTATCCAATTAGGGTTAAAGCTGTAATCCTTAAGGAGTCTACAAGTATAAATAGACCCTAGGGGTGAGGGAATTCGACACACCATCTAAAGTAGAGATACTCTGGCCGAATTCCTCCCCTCTCCTCTCTCCTAAATCATCTTGCTTGCTATTGGTGTTTGTAAGCCATTAGAGGAGTGACATTTGTAACTCTAGAAGCTCCAAGACAACAAGATCAACAAGGAATCCAAAGGTATGATTCTAGATCTATTTCAATGTTGTTATTTAATCTAATTAGCCATTAGAAGTCTTGGATTCAAAGCATGTTTAATTAGAAAGCCTAGATCCGAGCAATAGGGTTTTGCATGCGCACATAGGAAAGTTCTTATGGCTAAAACCCATCAAGGTCAACCAAGTTTCAAAATGGACTAGGTTCCCAAGACTAATTAATCCCGTATTTTGTGCCGGAGCAGCTATGGAGGAATATCAATAGACTTTGGTATATTGATAGTGGTTGTTCCAGGCACATGATAGGGGACATCTCTATTATGCATGAAATTCAGAATTTTCATGGAGAGCATGTGTCCTTTGATGGAAAGAAAAAGGAAAGATCATAAATGGGGATTTCTTCAATTGTTGAATTACAGTTTGAATTTTCTGGCTCTTCTCTTCTCTGTGATAATAATGATGATCTTCAATTGTCCAAAAGCCTAATTTTTCTTAAAAACCAAGCTCGTGTTTGTAGGATTTCTTAAGAGGATTTGTTTCGAAGACTGAAACTTTCTTTTCTATTTTATTTAGTATTTCTTATTTTCTTCCATTTTTGTCTTTACTTTTAGAAAAGGTTTTTTTTGTGACAATCTTTTAGGAAATGATATGAGTTGGTGATAAAGGGTAAACGAAATACATGTAAAGCACTGAAGTTGAATTGTATAAACTTGGTGTTCAATGTGTGGGTAGGCATAAAGGAATAAAACTAATGGACTAGACAATGTGGACTCATTTGAACTTGAAAAACTTCGTTTGGACTAACAATACGACGCTTGGATTGGTTTAACAATAAAAAAGAAAAGGAAGCCTCTGACATAAATTGAAGCTAACTATCATCTAGATCTGTGGCTCAACACTTCATTAGCGTATAGACTTGTGTCCTTAATTTTTGTACTGATAGGGGGTGACTGAGGGGTTCTGATAAATTGGGTCTGTTTAAAATCATTATTCTTCCTTTCTTAGCCAGTCATATGTTGTCCCCTTTGCGTGATCGGAAGATCCGACCTGGGACACAACATATGCACTCAGATGATGTTCACCACTTCCAAGTCAGTACATTGTCTCCTACAAATATAAAATATTATACTCTCTATGCTAGTCATATGTTTTCCCCTCTACGTGCTCGGTTGATCCGACCTGGGACACAACATATGCATTCCATAATGATTATCTACTCACCTAAAGTAAAGGATTCTGAGGAAATTTCCTTGATTGCTGGGGTATGCCATGAAGTGAGGAACATGTTCTAGTGTACTAACATTAACTACACCCATAACTACAAGGATGACTGGTAGATTTTACTTACTAAATTTAAGTGGACAACAATATCTATAGTCATCGTTAGACAAAATGGTCTATCTAGTAATATAGTAGCTATATATCGTTACTCATGATTTGTCCTGAAAAAAGTTCTTTGTCTTTAAGTGGATCACAATATCAATGATTGACCAGAGTTTTTCATGAACGTATGTGCTAATAAACCTCATTATTTTGCTTCACCACGTCTGATCCCAAAAGTTTTTGTTTATTAGAATCTGAGTTTTTTAAAATTTGTACATATTTTCATTGTTATGCACAAATTTAGGGGGAGAAATTACAAAATAAAAAATAAAAAACCAAATAAAATAAAACAAAATAAAAATAAATAAATAAATAATAAAAAAATTATATGTTTAATTTTACTTTTAATAATTATCTTTATTTTCGTTTTGGTTTTTGAAATGTAAAATAAAAAGAAATCATTTTATTATAATAGGGTATTTTGTTAGGCCGAAATCATTTGGGTGGGTCATCTGGGCCGAAATCTATTAGGGTATATACATTCTTTCTTTTCGGATGATTAAGGTTTACCACCGAAAACCCCAATCCGCCATTGTGCTTTTTCGAGTTTTCCTAAAAAATCTCCTTTTTCGGTGTTAGTGTTGCAAAATCTTTGGTGAATCAGGTAAATTATCGCTTTTTGATCACAACAATGGTGTTTTAATTGTTTTTGGTGCGCTCGTTTTTCACATATTTGCAGGTTTCAAATGGTTTTGACGAGTTTTTTCAATGAACGGTGTTGAAACTGGTTTCAGTGAGATTTCGGGTTTTCAGTTCAACCCGAATTCGACCAAAATCGATGAAGATCCGACCCAATCTGATCAAAATCGGGTGCTCGGCCAAAATACCCAACGTTGACCGAAAACATCTGGTCAAAAGTATTTTGACTAAAATTGATCAGTTTTGACCGAAATCGATAGAAACCTTGACTTTAACCGAAAACTACTAAAGTTTTGCCTTTGACCGAAATCGATTAATTCTTTGACTTCAACCGAAATCAAATTGTAAACTTAATTTAATTATTTTTAAATCAACTCTCATTTGGCTAGTTTCGTACAGATAAATGGCAGAGCAGATTAAATTTGTAGACTCTCACAATGTTGTTGGATATCATATGGATCCACCTGCTGCTCATCAAGAATTCGAATCCATGATGGTGTGTTTGAATAACTGTAGGATTTCTCATGCCCTCCGTGCTAATCCATTCATCCACAAGGACCTGATTACCGAGTTCTAGAAAAGTACTTCAATCAACAAGCAAGGAGAAGATGGAGCTGGTACTGTTGAATCAACGGTGAAGGGAACTCAAGTAATTATTTCTAAGTAAGTTATCTGAGAAGTACTTGAATTTTGTGATGCATCTGTAGTTCCAATTGAGCACTCTGCTGATCAAGTGACAGAAATCCTTGAGAAGATGTGCTATGAAGGAACCTATCCTCCCACCAGCAAGAAGCTGTTGCCACCTTACTAGAGGTTTCCGGCACACTACTTTGTAATTTGCAATTCTGGAAGGAATGGAGGATCTAATGAAATTAGTTAGACTACGACCTCAACTATTGTTGCTTTGGAAATGAACTGGGATTACAAATTTTCAAAGTTTTTGAAGAAATGAAAAGCAATCTCCAGGGGAAGAAGAAGGACCTATTCTTGATGTATCCCAGGTTCCTTCAAATGATCGAATGAAAATACCCCGAAATTGAGAGGTCGCCTGATACTTTGGACATGAAAGCCTTGGGTCCCAACACCTTTGGCCTCATGAAGCAATCAAGAAAAGCTGACAAAGTCGCCTATCAAGGATTGAAGAAGTTGGTTAAGTTCGGAAAGTTTGTTGAAGTTGAAAACACTCCTGCTGCTAGTTCCATTAATACTGAGGTTTCCGGGGAACACATGGCACCTAAACCAAAATTTCAATTTGCATTTGAAGAGGTTGAAGTATCTAATGATGAAGAAGAAGAGGATCAAGAAAAGGATTTAACAGAGAATGAGTTTGAAGATTTTCTAAAAAGTATCTCAATCCCTAAAGAGGATGTGGCCGTCACACCTTTGGCTATGACTAAAAGAGATCGTAATTTAACTGTGCAATTTTATTCATCTACCTCTAAACAGATGGATAATCTTATTGTTGAACTTCAGCGAACTATGAGGAAGCCTCCCCAAACAATTCTTGTTACAACCGAACCTCCATCTAAGAGTGATCAAGAAGATTCAGCTCACGTTCTTCTCCCAAGGAGAAGAAAAAGAAGAGATCTAACACCTAGAGTACTTATCACAAACCATATTCAAAATGTATATACTCCGATTGAACCTAGTTCTATGGCCCAAAACATTGAAAGTACATTTACTGAGTCTTTTTCCATTGATGCAAGAGATTTCAAGGCCGCTACCTGAATCCACTCCAATGGATCAGGATTTTGAAAACCCTTTTGTTGAACAAGAAGTCTTCACTTCATAAGGTGCTCAAGCTTCTGGAAGCTCCTTTGAAGCCCCCGAGTTGGATATTTCAAAAGGCAAAAGCAAGCTGCCTGAGTCTGAATTGTGGATGTCGCTCTGCTTTAGAACAAATTTTTGATTTGGAACAAAGCTCGGATGAAAAGCATTGAATTATTGTAAAGTAGGACATTAGAATCAGTGAGCTTGGAAAGGATAACTCCATTAAAGATGTAAAGATTTCAGAACTTCAAGAAAATCTTGGTGGTCTAATTGTTTTATTCTTTAACCTAAAACAACGCTTACATCAAAAGTTTGGTGATGATTTTCAACCTTTAAGCGCTGAAGGAGATAAGATTTATGCTTCTAGTTCTGGTCTAGTCAATCCAACTTCTCAACCTGCAAGTGAAAGAGTTATAAGACCAGTTCCACATGCAAATCTTTATACATTTTTATCTTCTGGTCAGGCTTCTGCTCAAGAAGGAAGAGAGAAGCAAATCAGGGTTGAGTAGTTGAGAGGGAAGATGCTAATGATGAAACATTCAGACCAAAACTGCTTCAAGTGATCACCCTGGGATTTTTTCAGGGAGACTGGGAAGAAATTTATATATAAATATGGGGACCGCTCTGGTATTTTGATGTGGGGATATGATGCTGATAAGAAAATGTGGATTGTAAAGCGAAAGAGGGGACGAATTAGGTATTATGAGAAGAAAGCCGACTTTATGTCCTGGATAAAATTTGATCTTTCTGAACTTATTCACGCACCTTTCCACAATCCGAGCAGTGAACCCATGGCCTAGTCTTTTAAGAGTTTTCTTGACGATAAAGCTAAAAATAACTTTGAAGGCATGAAGACTGCTTCATCATTTACGAAAAAGGCAAAGGATGCCATTGATCCTTGCACTAACAAAACCATGGTGAATGTTATGTGGCAGCCTACAAAACAAGTTAAAAGGATTCCACTTCCCAAACATTTACTAGAAGGCACTTTGGACTCAATCCAACTATGGGTTTATGATGAGGCTATTGCATCTGTAGTGATCAAGCTGAAGAAGAACTAGAATTGCATTGTTGATCCCAAATACTTGTTGGAGTTTTGTGAATGTGACATCCGAACTTTTTCAAACTTTCAAATAATTGTTGAGAATGATTTGTTTGAAGCTGCTGCAAAAGCCTTCATCGGAATGGTTGTTACCACAATTGAAAAGAAGCTGTGGCTAGGGCATTTGATTAGGCAAACGTGCTTCTCGTGGAGAAGCCTTGGAGAGAACTAAAAGCAATAAACAAATGGGGAGATTATTGGGCTATATTTTGTGGTTTATGCTTTGTTTTTGTATGTCATATGTGTTCTCATTTGTGTACCGAAATCAATGGTGGGCTTAGTGTTTTTGGTAGGCTTGTTATGTTTGGGCTTTAGGTTAATTGGTGTAGTATAAATATGGTTTGTGTATAGCTATTCTAGGTTAATGTGTTTTTGGGAGTTGGTGTCTACCCACGGTTAAAGAGTAATTGAATGTACCTAACAATTGATTAATAGAATTGTGTTCATTTACTAGACTGTGTTCATTGATTCATCTAATTATTTGTTTTATATAGTTGTTTTATTAAGTTTCCCCATTAACTCAAACAATTGCCTTGATACTTTAAGAAGATATGAGTTTTGGGACTTACAATATGCATATACATATTCTAATGCATGTGTATATCTATATGTATCTACTTATTTATATGCATATACTTATTCTTATGCATATGCATATACTTATTTATATTTATATACATATACTTATTCTTATGCATATGAATATGCATATAGTTATTATTATACATATCATTGTGCTTATGCATATCTTATTCATATGCATATAATTATTATTATTATTATTATTATTATTATTATTATTATTATTATTATATATGCATGTAATATACTTATTCATATGCACATGCCTATACTTATATATATATATATATATATATATATATATAGTTATTCATATGCATGTGCATATACTTATGAATATGTATATGTTATATATTTATTGTTATGCATATGTATATGCATAATAATCATATGTGTTTATTTATCTTTTGCATATACTTATTTTTATGCATATACGTATGCATATGTATATAAGGTATTTGTATGCATATTTATACACTTAGTCATATGTATATGTATATCTTTACTCTTATGTAAATAGAGGCATTAAAAATGTTTTTTTTTTAAATATTCATGTGCATATGCATATTTTTTTTAAAATATGCATATACAGAAAAAATATATATATAAATATGCATTTAAAATGCTTTTTTTAAGTTCCATTTTGGGATATATACAGTAAAGTTTCAATATTTTCATCGATTTGACAAGAAAGTCCTAAACTTTATTTTTTTGACAGTAAAGTCCAAATTACCAGCAGTTTTTGACACTTTTACCCTTTTTCCCGGTTAGCCGGTATTTATGACTTTTTTGTCAAAAAAATAAAGTTTATGACTTTCTTGTCAAATTGTCAATTAGGACTTTACTGTCAAAAGAATAAAGTTTAGGACTTTTTTTGTCAAATCATTGAAAATATTGGGACTTTAGTGTATATATAATTTTTTTGGGTTAGAAATTTATTGGTCTGATACTCTTTAAGCATAAGAGTTATTGAAAGATTCTTTAATCAGTTAAATCCTATTGAAATCCTTTACGTTTGCTTCTTGTTAAATCGTTTTTTTAATCTCAACAAACCGACATTGAAAAAAATTGAGATAATCAAGAAAAAAAGAAAGAACTAGGATTGTGTTGGCTTTTTGCAGTCTCAAAAATGGAGAAATTAGAAACCTAAAAAAACGAAATTTCCCTGACTTTATACAAACACAAACATCAGATGCCAAGTCAAAATGGTGTGAATGTGGAGAAAGGAAAGAAGGGCAATTTCGTTTTTTTTCGGTTTCTTATTTCTCCATTTTTGAGACTGCAAAAAGCCAACACAACCCTGTTTCTTTCTTTCTTTCTTGATTATCTCAATTTTTTTCAATGTCGGTTTGTTGAAATTAAAAAAAAAACGATTTAACAAGAAGCAAATGTAAAGTATTTCAATACGATCTAGCTGATTAGAGAATGTTTCAATAACTCTTATGCTTAAAGAGTATCATACTATTAAATTTATACTCAAAAAAATTATATATACACTAAAGTCTTAATATTTTCAACGATTTGACAAAAAATCCTAAACTTTATTCTTTTGACAGTAAAGTCCTAATTGACGATTTGACAAGAAAGTCCTAAACTTTATTTTGTTGACAAAAAAGTCATAATTACCGGCTAACCGGGAAAAAATGGTAAAAGTGTCAAAAATTACCGGTAATTTGAACTTTACTGTCAAAAATATAAAATTTAGAACTTTCTTGTCAAATCGATGAAAATATTAGAACTTTATTCTATATATCCCTTCCATTTTTAAATAATAGTTTTGAAATGTAATAAATATTTTCATTAATTTAAAAGAGTTTAAAAATTAAAAAGAAATAAATAAATAGAATAATAAATAAATTAAATAATTTTTTTTCAAATAAGTGAAAATATACCTTATATTTCGAAATTAAGATTTAAAATATTATTTTTCAAAAAAAAACACATTTTTAATGCATATTCACATTTTTTTTGTACATATATACATTTAAAAAAATATTACATATCTAGATGCATCTATTTTTTTTTTTTCATTTTTTTTGGTAATCCTGTTAGATGTATGTATATACATACACATGTGAAATTTGGTATATAAATTTATTGTAGATAAAAAGTTTATTGGTTATCTAACTCAATTTAGTTCTCCATTGATCTTATATATATATATATATATATATATATATATATATATATATATATATATATATATATATATATATATATATATATATATATATATATATATATATATATATATATATATATATATAACAAAAAACCCAAAAAATAACCCTAAATGTCATAAACATATATAAAAAATACTTAGAGATTACAAATCGTTTTTTTTTTTTAATTTTATATTATTAAAAACAACACATTTTTGAAATTTTTTTGAAAAAAAACAATAAATAATAAAATAAATAAATAAAATTCGATTTTTTAATTTTTTTTTCAACGAATGTATAGAAAAAGTTGCGCTTTTGAAGAATTTAAAGTCAAAAAAAGATTTGTGATCTCTAAATATATTTTTTATGCGTTTTTATAACTTTTAAGGTTTTTTTTTTTTCATATGACTCTATATATATATATATATATATATATATATATATATATATATATATATATATATATATATATATATATATATATATATATATAGTTGTATTAAAGTTTAATGCATCGATATATTACTATTATATTATATTTTAAAAATCATTTAGTACATTAAATTCTCAAAAGTCTAATGAAATATGATTTTTTTAAAATCATCTACTTCAAAATCTAATTTATTTAAGGATTAAACAATTATTTTTCTTCATTAAAAAGTTTGATGATCATTATATTTTAGGGAGTAAATTATTGAAATCGTCCCTATTATTTGGTCAAAATTACACGTTTGGTTCCTAACTTTTTTTTGCAATCAGATCGTCCCTATGGTTTGATTTTGTTGTGTTTTACGTCCCTTACATACATAAACTTAGGGACCAAACGTGCAATTTATACCAAACCATAGGGACAAAAAACGCAACAAAATAAACCACAGAGACGATCCAAATGCAAAAAAAAATTAGGGATCAAACATCCAATTTTGACCAAACCATAGGGATGATTTCAGTAATTTACTCTATTTTAGGTGACTCTTTATAATAAGTAAATTTGTATTATTGGATGTCAACTATACATTTCAAAATACCATTCATTCAACTCTTCTATTAAACTATGTATTACATATGGTTTTACATATAACAACACAGTTTCATTTATTGTCTTCTTGTTATTGTTTTTCTCATAAATACCTAGTAAAAGACTTTTCAAAACATATACCACTTAATAGATTCGTTAACAAGCTTACGTTCTTACTTGTATGTTCCATAATTGTAATGTCCGAAAAATTATGGAGAGATTTTTCATTTATAAAATGGATAAACCAATTTAGACCTTTATTTCAAAAAAACCATTATGTGATATTTATTTGATTGAAACCATACATTATTAGAGTTGGATTTAATAAAACTGTGGAAACAGATATCTTCGATGCATGTGTACAATCTCGGTGAGTTCATCTCACAAACAACCAACAAAACGTTTTATCCCCAAATGTAAGTATTAATATTAGTAAGTTCCTTATTATACCACATATTCAATCATATGTACAATACATCCACATAAAATCTTTGGCTCTAACATCGAGTAACCAAATCCCCTATCCACATACATATATCATACTCTAAGAGCCCCACCCAAGAGTAAACGGGCCCTTTCCAACTCTCACAATGGGCCCCACCTAAACATATATAATGGGCCCAACCCAACCATACTTAATGGTCC